CCAAAGTCAAACTCAAATATGTCTCATCAGATTTTTCCTTGATCAACTGAGCTACACACCCTCTTCGCTGTCAATCAAACCCTTCCGCAGTCCATAAACAGGATGTACAATAAATAGTTATAAAAAAGTTCTACATTTATTTCTGGTGTCATCGCTGCATGCAAGATCAGAAATTACATTTGCAACTATATTCAACAGCCTAATCCAAACTAATGCATAAAGGGGTATCAGAAGGCTCCCAGATGGATGATCCTAGAAACTGAGCTGGATCAGAAACTGACTGTGCTTCACACAGGTTGACTTCCTGTTACAGAAGCAGCAGAAAAAAGCTAAAAACACCAAAAAAAGTTTTGCTCTTGCATAAAAGCAGGTTGGTTTTATTTACTTTAAATCTTTATCTCTCAAGATCATCTTCACTTCCTCATCAAAAGATGTTGCTGAAAACCACAACTTCTCTTTCTGCCTCGCTGAGTGCAAGACAAGACTCTGAGCGCTCTCTGAAGAGGCCCGAATAACAGCCTGTGATGGAACGCAATCAGTACGGGACTGACGGCATTCTCGCTTTAAGTTGCACTGAGAGTACCGTACATTGTGTGAGATCAGATATAGGCCAGTACGATTCCAGGTTTGGGCCACAAATGTGTCATATTTCGCGGGGAGCACATGAGAGATGAGCTATATCTGATCGCTGTGTTGGTTGTGTGGCCATGGAAGGATGTTTGTATTGTGAATGGGGAAATTCCTGTGGGTGCACTTGCTGCTGCAATGAGCGATGGCTGACATGCAAAAAAAAAAAGTACATAAACATATGGTGTTCGTGTGACACCATACAAAAACACATTTAAACCAACTTTCTTTTGAAATATTAAATTATATTATGAAGATGTGTTTTTATTAGGACTGTCAATCAATTAAAAAACTTTTTTTTTTCTTTTTATGTGTAACTTATTGTACTTACTGAACAAGTTAAATTAACAACTAGGGATGCACTGATACCACTTTTTCCAGTACTCGCCCGATACCTATACTTTTATTTTTGGTACTTACCGATACCAAGTACTGATAACAATATTTTCATTGCATTTGTAAATTTTTTAAATACTGGGTACAGAAACCAAAAGAGTATGTATAATGTTAGTTGGTTAACTTAATTGATCAAATAGATACAGTCAAACCAAAATCATCTTTTTGACATATCCGACCGAACTTCAAACTTTCCAGTGATGTCTGTGAGAAAGGGATATTCACTCGACAAGCTCGCGCATCTGTGCCACTGCGCGCACAATCCACTCAGCGTGATTTGCTTACCAGCTGGCGCAAATCAACTATACAGGCATTAATACTGAATGTTTTATATTCATTGCATACATATACTTCGTAGACATCTTTAATCTCTAATAACTCCATTCTGCTGTCTGTTGTCGGTGTTTCTTTGTCTGAATATGGCACTTATCACATGCTGTGTGGTATCGGCGTTTGGTATTGGGGCATTTTAACGAGTACGAGTACAGGAGCTCAGTATCGGGCCCGATACCGATACCAGTATCGGTATCGGTGCATCCCTATTAATAACCTTAGTTTTTACACAGTTTCTTTTGATATTTGCCCTAAACCTCTTCTCCACTGCTTTTTCTTGGAACTGCATCCCAACTACATCATAAGGATGTCCGCAGACATGTTTTTTCCCATAATCTTGTCGACCACAGACAGATGAATTGCTCATTGGAGATGGCGCTTGTGCCATAATGGAAATCTTTTGCATAAATGCTGACAGGGGTGGTCTGTCCCTTTAATTTTGGTGAATTATATGCATAAACCATTTAAAGAGAAAACCTAAATTCTTTAGTACAAGGATGAAAGACGTTTGAGGTGGCTTTATTTGAATCTAAAGGCTCTATTGTATCTAGAGAACTCCCATTTAGGGACACATCTCTTTTATATAAGGTAATAGCACTGGGGATTTGACTTCCTAATGGAGATGTTTAAATGAAGCTTATGGTCTACTTCCCCCCAAATCTGACTAGTTCGAGAAGATAAATTCCCCTGTCAAGGTCGAAATGATCAAACAGATTACAATTATTTTATCCCTCGTCTTTATTAATGAGCACTGTCTTTCACAGTTATGTCGACTAATCAGGATAGATGATATGTCAGCCTCCAGGTTTGTTGTTTTTCACGTATTTAAGGAGTCGTAGGGGTTTATAAATTGAGAGATAATAAAACCGTACAGCTTGTCAGAGGAGAAACTGGGCTTTTGGAGGTTTAAAAAGGTCACGCTTTATGTACCATGTGCACAACACAAGCCAAGAGACTGATCTGTTGTAAAAGCTGTCAATTATTACATAACTGAATCCTTGTTCTTGGAAGAAAAAAAAACAAAGAGCTGGTTTGTAATGATCAAAACTGATGAAAAAACAAAATTTAATTGATAAGCTATGACATCTGAACGGGTCATTGTGAACAGAGCTGTTTTTGACAAGGTAAAAAGGGTGTTTTTTTTACACTACCATTTGGAAATTTTAACCAAAGTATGTTATAGACTTTTCATTAAGGCCCCTAAAGAATCATATTAACTTGTGGAAAATGGGCATCCCATGACCCCTTTAAATGGAAACTATGCTCCACACAGAAAAACTAGCCTTTAATGGTAGTTTTAAGCTGCACTATTCTGAAAAAGCTGTTAAAATAGTTGCTGTTAGTCACCATAAACAAGCATGAAAAAAGCAAAAGATGGTTCCTTCACTCACCACAGTCATAATAAAACTATGAAGTAATGTTAAATACTACTCTTTTTTTGTTAGAGTGTCAAGTGCACATCCCTGATTCGGTCAACCGCTCTGGCATTCAGCCTCTCTCTATCTCCTCTCCCTTCTTTCTCTCACCATTTCCTTGCATTCATCAGAGTCATAACCCTGTTGTCTCAGCCGAGTGAATCAGATTGAGCCCCTGGCACAGAATGAAGGCAAAGTCAACAGGAATTAAGTTTCAGTGCAACTGTTTACTCAACTGTGGCCTGCAGTTATTGAAATCTTATCCATGGTTTTATGTGACGACTGCGGTAATGAATTCAGTATGCTTGTGATTTTCGAACTGACAACATCACGCTAAGTCCGAGAAGCACACGACAGACTGAAGCAATTCAGAGGAAGGCGAAAGCGAGAGTCAATCACAGATGCTTCAGATTATTGATTGACGGCGATATACTCTAGTTACAGATTGATCTCAAGCAGACTGAAGGGAAAATCAAGATGTCAAATGAGTTTTATTCCTATACGTAATCCAAAATAATCATCCTAATTCACAACCAACATCTTAGCAAATTAAACACAATACAAAATCAATATCCCTTCTATGAAATAAGACCAAAACAAATCAGTTTTGGGTCATTCTCGGTTTTCAAACCAGAACTGTCCCATTTGCCGTTAAAACCAAGGCATTGCGCTCTTCAGTTCCACGACAGCCGTGTTACTTCGACAGACAGCTACTTCAGAGGCTCCCCATCCCCACCAAACAACCCTTGACAACATCTCCCATCATGCCGTGGGGTGCAGATAACACACGACTGGCTGATCTTTTCAATGCTGGCCCGCTCAACACGCTGTCGTGTGGGCAAACGCAACACTCAGACAGACAGAAAGAGCTCGTCTGTTTATTTCAGTGTGAGTGAGGATGTTTTGGGCACTCTTGGTATATAATAAAAACAGCTGCAACACTCCACGCTCTAGTGCTTTGAAAGGAAGCTCTCTGAAATCTCGACTTGAGTGTTAGGGGTGTTTACAATGCGACAGGTGAAATCTGTGGCGTCCGGAGGGATGCAGCACATACACGACTGTCCATAAATTCCATTGCACCTATGCATTTGTCCATTGCAACAAGCCTGATAAATATTTCACCTGAATGCAGATGCTGTGGAGTTGCCGGGATAAACACATTGGCAACCAAAAACACAATCACAGAAAGAGCACTTAGTGCATTTAAAAATTCAAACCGCTCTCAATATACATAAATAATCATAATAATGTGTTTATGTACTCTGGTTGAAGGGGGTGCAATGATTAAATATTTACAAGCACTTAAAGAGGGGAGAGAAGGATGCTGTTGACATGCGTTAATAACAGACAGGTGCAAGAAAGAAATAAAGAAAGAAAGAAAGAAAGAAAGAAAGAAAGAAAAAGAAACATGGGTAGGGAAGAACAAACGAATAAAGGACTAAGAATTTAATTAAGAAACAAAAAAGGAAGAAATGAAAGAAGGAAGAGAGGAACAAAATAATTAACAAATGATCAAAAGATGGAAGGAATTAATAAAAAAAGGAAAAGGAAAAAGGGAGAGGAAGGAAAGAATGAAAGAGTGACAGACAGAGGAAGGAAGGAAGGAAAGAAGGAATGAACAAAAACAATGTAAAGAGTTAATAAAGAAAGAAAGAAAGAAAGACAGACAGAAAGAAAGAAAGAAAGAAAGGACAAGGATTAAATGATGGCTGAAAATGAGAAATGAAAGCAGGAAGGGAGAAACAAAATAAACAACTGATCAAAAGGACATCAACAAAGGAAGAGGAAGAAAGAAAGTAATGAATGAACGAAAGAATGAGCATTAGAGCAAAAGCAAGTAAGAGTAAAGAAAAATTAAAAAAGAGCAAATGAAAAAAGGATGCAGAAAACTAACAAATAAACAATGAATAGAAAGAAAATGAAAGAAAAAAATACATAAATGATGAATAAAAAGAAAATAAGCAATGAAAGAAGGAACACAGTAACTAATGAATGAACAAATGATGAAAAAATAAAGAATTAATGAAGAAATGAAGGATAAAAAGAAAAGAAATTAAAACAGGAAGGAACAAACAAACTAATAAATGAACAAAAGATGAAAGTAGCAAACGAGAAAAGAAATTGAGAGGATGGAAGGAATAAAGGAAAAGAAAAAAAGGAACAAGGAAAGAAAGAATGAATGAACGAACAAACGAATGATGGAAGAACTGAGTGAAAAGAAAGAAAGACCTGCTGCTGCTGGAAGTTGATGAGGTCAGACACTGTGATGTCAGAGGAAAGAGTGGCGCTCTTGGATCGAACTTCTCTGTGTCCCTCCACACTAGGTGCGGCGCTGTTCTGATTGGCCGTTCCGTTTGTCGCCTCTGTCCCCGACTCTTGCATCATGACTTAAAAACCTGCAGCAGAAACACAAAACAAGTGTCAAAAATCATATTTAAAACAATTTCACGCAAAAGTCAGTTTCCTTTTGTGCTGCTCAATTTCACTTTCCCCATCTTTCCTCATCTATGCTGCTTTGTTTGCAAGCATGACTCTAGTTTAATAATAATAATAAACTGAAAACATGACAAAGCTTTTTTTTGTAATACTTTTGTTTCTTGTATCTTTCATCACATCACAGGCTGAAAAGATGCGAGCTTAAAATAAGTTATTTGTCTTTTTCTGTTTGCCTTTCTTCTTTATGCTGGGCCTGAAAGCATGAAGAAACAGCAAAGAGCGAATGGGATGGGAACCCAACCTCGGTCACGTCTCAGCAGAGAGGCAAAAGAAATCACACTCGCTCACAAACAAAACTTGTTCAAGTGGAATGGATATATTTACTTGCATTGCTCCCAGAAGAACCTCAGCCCGATGGCTTTTTAATGGGAAACAGGGCAGGGGAGTCGGTCGGATTACAAATCGCCCAATTCAAAACTTCTCTGCAAACGTTTGCATCCTGGGTGTTGAGTTAACGCCACGGTCCTGGGCCCGCACACAAATAAACAAACCTGAAAATATTCCGATGTACTTCCAAAGTATTTCCAATAATACATTACACTTTAACGATGCCTATTCAGACAAACAAAAAGGCTTTTTGTTCTTCCAAACGCTTCCCAACTAACTGCGTTATACTCTCAAAAGTTTTCTCCTTCAACACACTGATTTATCCACGTCGTCCCGAGACAGACACTTAGATTTATATCTTTTGCATTCATCCCTTGTTGGCGTGGAGTGCCTCGTAGCCCCGTTTCAGACCATCTTAATGAAGCTGACCAAGTCGGGCAGAAGTAAATTAACTTGGCTTATTAATTATTGATATGAGGCAGAATGAATGCCCTTAAAGCAGTGGGTGCTAATCACATAGGCAGGTGAAAATTGAAAAGAATGCAGATTTATAATGCTGCCCCCTCTCAGACAGTAATAAGGCGCGTGATAATTGTTCAGCCAGGTTTGCAGGGGAGAGGCGATTGCAGACGCAGACGAACACTTTGGGCATTGACCCATCTGGACCACTGGCGGGCTGCGTCTCTTCTATTGTCTGTTTTTGATAAAGCAGATGTACTGTAAACAATAAGACACAACAGCTACTAGACAGAAAATAAATATATACATATAAAACACACACAGATATTATAAAAATAAATAATATTTTTAATAAATAAATGTAAAAATAAACTGTAAAAATATAATTATATAGAATTATTTATTTTACTTTCATATTTATTTTAAGTTTTCATATTTAATATATTTTTTAATTTAGTTACATTTTTACAGACATTTACATATGTACAAGTGCATATGTAAAAGTGATTAATCAGAAATACTGAACTGCACTTTAAATCTGAACTACATCAACAACTTTACTTCTGTATGTTTTTTTTTCTTTGGACAAATAAACATAAATTCAGTAGCAGTTACCCATAATGCACTTTTTACATATAATAAATGAAAAGAGGCCATTTTTTAGTTAAAAAATCCTGAAATTCACAATTAAAAAAAAACTTGATATTTCCAGGTTTTTCATGACTGTGGGAACCCTGAACCACTTTCATCCCATATTTTATTTTTATCTCCAAAAACACCCTGAATACACTACATAACCTATTTGTGTAACTAAACTACTCCATACTCAAAATCATCCTTTCAATTAGAGACAAATGGACCAAGTACCCGGTACTCCCACAAACAAGCTGTGGCTTGTTTAGCAAGCTTCTCTCTCTTTCTGTCTCTTTTAGGTTTTACTGTCTCATTTGTTCTCTCTCCTTTTTTCACTGTGTTCCATAAAAGAGGGTGATAATGGCTATTATGCATGCACTGTCATTCCGTACTAAATTTTCATAATTATAAAGGAAGGGCGTAAATTTGCGAATACGTGGCATCTCTAAAAGTAATCATGAGAATGTGCCGGGGGGCTATTTTAATGTATGCAAAACTAGTGACCCACAATAAAGACATGAAGCTGCAACGAATGCAAAGTAATGCACGCGCGCCTGCATCCACGTCTGAAGAGGGCCAGCTAAAATTAACACCCAATTAATTTCGGAATTGACAAACAAATGAAACCCATAAATCTACTTTCTCATTAAATTTCGCCATGGAATAATTCAAAAGCTGCAATATCGCGACCAAAAAAAGGATGAAAGAAAATGCCTGTTATCCATCACAAATATCAAATAGATGGAAGAAAAAAATAACTTGGTGGAAGGGCATTAATAATGTCAACGGCTTTATGAATTAAGATATTGTTTTAGTGTCTTATCATTATGATTCCAGCTTTGGATTTCTCCTCGCTTTGATAACAAAGGTGCAGCTGTGATTTTCTGTCGTCGCATTTTGAATGCAATATAAACATGAATAACAGACAAACGCATATAAAACCAGCAAGGGTTCACGAGAAACAGATTTGTTTGTTTACAGTGTTTATCGTGGCTTTAAATAAAAAGAAAACAAAGACTTAAGGAAAAAACTTCAATATAATGGAAATTCCCTGAGATTAAGCCCCCTCTATCATCAGATGTCTGCGCCTTTTCCGCACAAAACACTTGCTTGCTAAACACAACAAGTGTTTGGAACAAACAACGGATAATACAACAAGGTCAGAATATGTGTATGTTGACGTTTTGCTCGGTTCATCTGATATTGCGAGCACACGCACCCCACCTGGCCTACATAAAAGCATGAGCAAATACAGAAAATCAAAAGCGTTCTCCCTTATTTATTGTTTCCCTGGATTTGACTGTGTTTATGGAGAGAGTGTGTTTGTGTGTGCCGTGCACCAGGCCGGAAAGCAGACTCCATCAGCGTTAAAAAGATGCTGTCATTCCGGTAAGTTCTGAAAGCCCACCTGCTCTTACAAGCCTGTGTTCTCACACCACCCCTGTTTACACAAGCACACAACAAAAGCACAACATTCTTATGCTCCAGATAAGTAGTCACAATAAGGACGACAAAACCCCGTGATCACACTGTTGTTTAGGTTCAGCCTTGTTGCTTGTCTAGACAACACAATGATCTGTACGACTGAAAAGGTGTGAGAGCATCTTGAGGTTTTCCTTTTCTGCTTTTCCCCCAAGGATTCCTGATGAGTAACATAGACAGCTGTATTTTGGCTAGGGATTGTGGTGTGAGAAAAATTACCTTATGACCGTACATCACGGTACATTACGAGACATTTTTATATTACAGTAAAAGTGTATATGGCGATATAATTAGCTTTGTATGAAATTCAACCCCAAAATAATTGTATAAATTGTTACAAAACCATGCAGTAATGCCTACTCTTTGACATATCAGCAAATTAAATATTTCTTCATTTTAATTATTCTTTTTTTCTTATTTGTTACTTGGACACTGTCCAAATTGTAAAATTATTTACATCATATTAAAGCACCGAGATTTACCGATATATAAATTCTGGCCTATACAAATAGGCTGATAATTCTTACACACACACACACACACACACACACACTCAGGTTTGTTTTTGTGAAAAGTGGGGACACATTCTTTACAAATGTACAATAATAAAAAAATAAAATAAAATAAAACAAAACAAAATAAAAAATGCTAAGTTAATTTAGGCATCACAACATTATAATATACAAAATTAAAAACAGATAGTCATTATGAGATTTGATTATAAAACTTATAAACCCAAATGTAAAATTATTCACATCATATGCGTGTACTGAGATGTACTGATATAAAAAATTCTGGTCGATACTGCTAATTATTTTCATGCTATGGTCAAGAACCGATAAATGGACAATATAAAAATTCTACTCTACTTGGTTAAAAAAAATAAAAAATAAAAAAAATAAAATAATAAAAAAATCATTTTGAGATAGTACGTTAGTTTACATTTAACAGTGTTTTTTTAATTATTAGATTTTTTAATTTGTAAATTAAGCATTAGAGCATTAGATGACAGCAAAGGCAAACTAAATGTAAAAAAATAAATAAATAAGCATGTACAATTTACTGAAAAAAACGAATAAATAAACCCCAAAGTGTAATGCAAGTTCACTCAAATTGACAGAGATCAAACCTGGATGCTAATCCTCCTCAAAAGTCTGTCTGTTACATATCTAAGCCAGATATCATGCAACATGTTACCTTCGGTGTGGGTCTTCCACCCCAAGGCACAACTTTGCATCATTCACACATGTCGGCACAATCAGGGCTAGTGACTTGCCCTCATGGAAAAGAATTGCTTGTGGCACTCTCAAAACAGGAAATGACAGCAGCGATGACATTCTGCCAAAAGGAGATCTCACTGTGAGACCAAACAGCCCCTCTAATCTCGACGGGCCTCTCCAGGCCAGAAACATATCTCGACACTACTGTGGCGACATTCTGAGAACAAAACCCCAGCACGTTTGGACAGACGGGTTTTGTCTTTTCTTTTGTGTTTTCTTGAGTTTGCTTCCAGACCTTGTAGGGCTGATGCCGGTCCGGCAGCTCATACAAACAAAGCTCGCTATTTGTTTAATAACTGATTGCTGCCATGACTACGGTAAACAAGGGGGGAACAGGGCCTTTTCTTTCTGTTTATGAACAAACACATCTTCTCGCAAAGAGCAATTTAACATTAACCAGGTGGAATTATCAACAGATCCCATAGGTTACCCAGAGGGCGAGCCGAAATGTAAACACACTTCAGAGAAAGACAGCGAGCGATGGGACGAAAAGAATGGAAGAAGGCGGGCAAGCATGTATGGACAGAAAAGTCAATGCAAACACAGGCCGTCTTGAATAAACAGTTGGAGGAGAATCTCAAGACAAACAAACAGTCATTTTCCTGACATTTAAAGAAGCATTAGGACGGCTGGGCTACAGCTGCTAACGGCCAACGTGAATGCGAAATAGATGGGGAAGGGGAGTGTTGCTCAACAGGCTGGATCTCACGGACCTCACG